ATGTAAGCTTTAATTTTACACTTTTATATCGTTTCACTGTTAATTAACATTTTATTCCGCAACACTTTGGACAAACATAGAATAATATCGTGAATAAAAATTTCCCCTCAGCAGATGAAAGAAATATTCTAATTTATACTTCATATGTAATATTAAAACATTGTACTACAATAATGAAGTAAACTGGAATTCACGACAGATATTTTTATAATACGCCTGATCTAAATCGGAAAGCCAAAATTAAAAATTATTATGAATCTTCATCGGCATACCGGATATATAACAAAATATACGTGTGCCAGCATGCGTTTTTTCAGAGTTATTTATTTATGCCTCAGTACAGTTATTTACATCTTTCAATTAATTAAGGGTTTTAGTTGAGATAGAAAAGTCAGTGTCACGAGCGGGATTCGAACCCACGATCTTCGGCTAGATACGCCGCTGCTCTACCACTTGAGCTATCATGACCTCCATCCACTCGGACACTAACTTCCCATCTCAACCCCACCTTTTTGAATTTTCCCTCCTTTTTGCCATTTTTCAAATGTCTTGCAATGTATGTGATTTTCGGCGACACGGAGAGCTTTAGTGAAGATATACTTCATTTTAAGTTATTAAATTCACTTGTTTTCGTGGTCCCCTTGGTCTATTAGTATCTCCCAATTAATTAAGGTTTTTAGTTGAGATTAAAAAGTCAATGCCATGAGCGGGAAGTTAGTGTCCGAGTGAATCGAGGTCACGATAGCTCAAGTGGTAGAGGGGCGGGGAATCTAGCCGAAGATCGTGGGTTCGAATCCAGCTCGTGACACTGACTTTTTTATCTGCACTAAAAACCTTTATTAATTGAAATATATTAATTAGTCAAGCAGACCACTAAAACTAGTCAAGTTATTTACATCAATGAAATAAACAGTAAATATTTGTTTCGGACGCAGGAATATTGAGTACTCTGTGGTAGTGATTGTGCGTGGAAGTTATTTATTAGCGTGAATTGAGGGATACATCCCCAATTTCTTGAAAAATATCGAGTACTTTGGAGTAGTATGAACGGAGTATAGTGTCGGAATGTAATTTATTAGCGTAAATTGAAATACGTCTTTAATTACCCCAAGAAAAAACTATTCAGGCGCAGGAATTGTAACGAGGTCNAAAGTCAATGCCATGAGCGGGAAGTTAGTGTCCGAGTGAATCGAGGTCACGATAGCTCAAGTGGTAGAGTAGTGGAGAATCTAGCCGAAGATCGTGGGTTCGAATCCCGCTCGTGAAACTGACTTTTTTATCTCAACTAAAAACCTTAATTAATTGAAATATATTAATTGGTCAAGCAGACCACTAAAACTAGTCAAGTTATTTACATCAATGAAATAAACAGTAAATATTTGTGTCGGACACAGGAATATTGAGTACTCTGGGGTAGTGATTGTGTGTGGAAGTTATTTATTAGCGTGAATATAGGAATACATCCCCAATTTTTTGAAAGATATCGAGTACTTTGGAGTAGTACGAACGGAGTATAGTGTCGGAATGTAATTTATTAGCGTAAATTGAAATACTTGTCTTTAATTACCCCAAGAAAAAACTATTCAGGCGCAGGAATTGTAACGAGGTCATCAAGTTTTAACTTGTTTTATTTATGTATAATTGCATTATTTGTTTTATTATATCTACACTTGACTAGCCCTAGGGTTCAGAGAGTCTATAAACAGGATAAAGAAATGAGAAAGTCGATTAACGTCATGAAAAAACCAGGAAAAGAAATCAGTAGTTTTAAAACGGCAGAAAGACAATAAAAGCAATGCAAAGTAAGCAAGGGCCAGCTATGACCAACGTACATTGCCGGCTCTAAAATTAAAACAGTAAAAATACAAAATACAAATAAAATATAAAGTTTTTTATTCCAATTTAACATAATTTATTAACTAATTTTCATGTTGTTATTATTTTTTATTGATGTTTACTGTTTGCGCCGGAATAAATAGTTTTAAGAACTAAAATGTACTTGTTTAATAATAGATTTATTTAAATGTAATTATTAATTTGTTCCGTTTTATTTATATATTTATTTTCAGCATGTCATAAAATTAATATAAGTGATGTAAGTGGCATTAAAATACGGATGGGCCTGCAAACAAACAATATCTAGTAGGCCCGTTTTTTTTTCGCTTGGAGGCAGTGATTTTCGAATCTTTGAACTGTGCGCACCTACGCTGTTTTCGTTCCGTTCCCTAACCTATTAACCGTTTGTCGCGAAGTGAATACCTATTGGAAAAAACAGATAACCTCGGTGAAGGCATCACGCACGTCACTTGATCCACGACCATTTGAATCTGACCTCGATACGTACCGCTACCTCGATTTGAACCATTCGAATAAATGAAGATTTGCTACCTACCTCAAACCATCAACTGAGTAAACAAACAAAAAAACTTCTGTTTTAGCTTTTAATAATATTGTGATTAATTTTCTTTGTTAAGTTACGTTCAATATTCCCCTGACCAATTGTTTATATTTAGGAATTTAGTTGTAAATGTAACAACATCACAATTTCATGTGCAAGTACAATTAAAGTATTGATTGTTCATAAATTTTTTTTTAACTAGATTATCTCCTCCAATTCACCTTCAAGTAAAGAAACCCTACATTCAAATTCCTGGAAACGGATTGGGAGGTACGCTAATAATTGCAGTAAAGCCCCTCTCGCCAACATTTACTATAACTTTTTGTATATGTTTTTACACATTTGTTCTACACTTTTTGTAAAAAAAAAAAAAAAAACACCGTGGCCTATGATGAGTATACAACCGCATTTCTTAAATCTATCCTCTCAATTTTTTTTTCGCTCAAAGAGAAATCATTGCATCGTGGATGTGTTCGTAAATTTTAAGAATTCGCAGTCCAAAAATATATCCAAGACAAAATAATTTCCGTAATGGGGGATAAGGATAGGGATAAAAGAGGAGGTCACATTGCTTTCTGCACCTCGACCTGAGTAGATCTATTGTGCTCCTCTGTTTTTTATAACTGGCCAGCTTCAGGCTGTTTGTCAATCAACCTCCAGAGTCATGCCAGCGGCTCCTGAATGAAGGATCTTATTTGGGGCTTTTCCGGTCCTAGTTGCAAGAACCTGCACCTACATAGAGCTTCACAGAAACATAAAATGTTTTCTACGGTTTCCTTCTCTTCCTGGCACAGTGTTTCTTCTTTCTGTACCCGTGCATGCGCATTCGTAAGTGGCAATGCCCTGTCTGGGTCCAACCGGAATCTTGGTTCGACTGCGGATGCCTTCCAGAAATTTTTTTCTAATTTTTGCAGATTTCCTTCACGTACCTCATGCCTGTGATTTCTTCCACCAGGTACTCATTAAGGATACATTTTAAGATGTATTCTAATCTAACCCACTTGTTTTTAACATATGCAATTTGTGCTGTAATCAATCTGTAATTCCTGTACATCTTATACATATAAAAACAAAAATTTAACCCTACATTTAAATTGATTAAAAAAATATCTCGCCTCAACTAAAGACAAAATTGTTTCGATAAAAACATGGTTTCGTAACCAGAACTAAATAAATGAAATGATAATTAAATTAAAAATAGATTCATTATGAAATTACCTACACAAAGTAGACTAAAAATTAAGATTTGATACATTACTTCATAGAGATTTTTTACAATTTTTTTTGTCACAAAAATTTTTCTGTTCACTTACCAGTTAGATCCTTTGAACTTTCCAACAATAGTAAAGTCGTGTTTTCTAATTCCACTGTTATCTTAGCAATCAAAATTTTAAAATTCTCAAAGGGAATAAAGAAATCAATAATAATGTATAGATAATTAAAGTACCTATTTTTATGTTACCTTAAAAAAAACATTGTTAACTAAAATATAAAATTCATTGTGAATCTCTGCGTGAGAGACTTTAGCATCATCATTTGAAAAGGTTTTGAGCGAAAGAGGATTACCAACGGTTAAAATAATCTTTGATTAAATTTTGCAAGCCCAGTTTTTTTCTTCTTTTAAATAAAATTAAGCATGGAAAAATATTAAATTAAGCCTTTTTTTAAACCTACATTTTCAGAAAGGGTTGCCAATACACTTACCGGTAGGTTATTTATTTTCTGCAAACACACTTCTTTTATAATCCGCCGAAACAACTTTTTCCCCGAGAAAAATGGTTAAGGGAGGGATTATTGTCGGACGAGATGTGATAGCCATCTCTTTAAATTTTTCCAAGCCGGTTCACGGATTATCCTAATTCACTTTTCACTATCAAGACGAGTTTTAAATTTCATTGGAAGAGTGGAAGCAGGCGGAGAAGCGAATGGTGGACAGCGTTAAAGGGGTGGGTGAGTGTAAGCCTGTTTAAAAACTTTCCCTAATAAAACTCTTCCGAGGAAACAGACTAATGTATTTTCGGCGTAACATAACTTTCTCTTTAAAAAAGCACACACACAAATAAAAAGGATTATTATTTTATTTATTCCAATAAAAGGATTTCTTCTACCCCGTTTTTCAATCAGTTGCGGGCAGTTTCCTTTTTGTTTTCCATAAAATATATATCAAATCACAAAGTTTCCGAGTTGAGAAAATTCTCAATTCATTAAGGTCCGCATTGTGTAAACCTTTAATTGCAGTTTTACCAAGTGGTCTGAATTAAAGGAAAATAAGATGTTCACGAGAAAACATTTTGTTGTTATGGATGAAATCTATCAAGGATGAAACACAAGAGGCGGGCCGAAGGATCGTGGATTACTCAATATTCCTTAGTTATACCTCCCTCTCAGATCCTCTCCCGTCCGAAATAATGTTATGCTAATTCAATCTTTGCTCCATATTCCCTTCTTCCGTTACAACCAACTCCCCCGCCTCTAACCTTTTCACGTCTCTATTTTCTTCTGGGCTCGGTTTCGGCGGAGGCTATCGCATTTTTGCCCTTGGCCTGTCCCAAATTTAATTTTTCCTTTCGAGATAAAACATCGCCTTAATGTTTCCTCTCACCTTTCTTATGAGCTCTCCGACCATCCCGTCCCAACCGCCTTTGACATCGGGGTTTTCAGTTCCGTACTGGCCGTCTTTGACGATCTTCAACTCATCTGAAACAAAAAGAGAGATCAATTTTGATTATTATTACGTATTAATTGACCGTCAATTATTGCAATAATAATAATAATTTTTTAAATAATTAATTTATATTTACAAGCGTATATAACATTTTTCAGTCAAATGAAACTTTTTTCAATAAAATGAAACTTTTTTCAACCAAATGAAACCTTTTTTCAAGCGAATGAAACTTTTTGTTCAATCAAATGAAACCTTTTTTCAATCAAATGAAACTTTTTTTCGACCAAATGAAACCTTTTTTCAAGCGAATGAAACTTTTTGTTCAATCAAATGAAACTTTTTTCAACCAAATGAAACTTTTTTCAACCAAATGAAACCTTTTTTCAAACAAATGAAACCTTTTTCAATTAAATGAAACCTTTTTCAATTAAATGAAACCTTTTTTTCAATCAAATGAAACTTTTTTCAATCAAATGAAACCTTTTTTCAATCAAATGGAACATTTTTTCAATCAAATGAAACTTTTTTTCAATCAAATGAAATTTTTTTCAATCAAATGCAACTTTTTTCAAGCAAATGAAACCTTTTTTCAACCAAATGAAACCTTTTGCCAAGCAAATGAAATCTTTTTCCAAGTAAATGAAACCTTTTTTCAACGAAATGAAACTTTTTTCAATCAAATGAAACCTTTTTCAATCAAATGAAACCTTTTTCAATTAAATGAAACCTTTTTTCAATTAAATTAAACCATTTTTTTCAATCAAATGAACTTTTTTCAACCAAATGAAACCTTTTTTCAATCAAATGGAACATTTTTTCAATCAAATGAAATTTTTTTTCAATTAACTGAATTTTTTTTTTCAATTAAATGTAACTTTTTTCAAGCAAATGAAACTGTTTTTCAACCAAATGAAACCTTTTGCCAAGAAAATGAAATCTTTTTCCAAGTAAATAAAACCTTTTTTTCAATCAAATGAAACTTTTTTCCATCAAATGAAACCTTTTTTCAATCAAATGGAACATTTTTTCAATCAAATGAAACTTTTTTCAATTAAATGAATTTTTTTTTCACTCAAATACAACTTTTTTCAAGCAAATGTAACCTTTTTCAACCAAATTAAACCTTTTGCCAAGCAAATGAAATCTTTTTCCAAGTAAATGAAACCTTTTTTCAACGAAATGAAACTTTTTTCCAATCAAATGAAACCTTTTTTCACGCATGAAACCATTTTTCAAGCAAGTGAAACCTAAAACCTAATGATAATAATTATTTAGAGAAATAAATAAATGACATTATAGTACTAACAATAATTTTTATGAAGATGGAGTTGGTTGGAATTCAATCCTTTTTAGTAAGATGGTTCCTACTCACAGTAAGTTGTTTAGCAACAATCCGGATTTTGAGCCCTTTAGCTCATCATCAGGTTGAAGGGTTTCTACAAACACGTCTCTCGACTTGAATTGCAAAAGTGAACCTCTGAAACCCCCGCCAACGCGAAAATGCCCTTCAACCTGATGATGAGCTAAAGGGCTCGAAATCCGGATTGTTGCAAAAACAACTTATTGCGAGTAGGAACCATCTTTTTAAAAAGGATTTAATTCCACGGCCACTCCATCATTCATAATTTCTATCCCAGATAGTTGTTGCTCGCTAAAAACACTTTTCTATCCTACTTAATTAAACTTCGACGGGGTGGATGTAGAAAAGTTTGATGAATACGGATCTTCACATAAAATGTTCTTGTACCTAAGCCTTACGATTCAATTATTGTAATATTAATATTCAATCATCATAAAAATTATTGGTAGTACTATAATGTCATTTATTTATTCTTCTACATAATTATTATCATTAGGTTCTAGGTTTTATTTGCTTGCAAATAGGTTTCATTTGATTGAAAAATGGTTTTATTTCATTGAAAAAACGTTTCATTTCATTGAAAAAAGGTTTCATTTGATGGAAAAATGGTTTCATTTCATTGAAAAAGGTTTAATTTGCTTGAAAAATGGTTTAATTTGCGTGAAAAAAGGTTTCATTTGATTGAAAAAAAGTTTCATTTGATTGAAAAAAGGTTTCATTTGCTTGAAAAATGGTTTCATTTCATTGAAAAAAGGTTTGATTTGGTTGAAAAAAAGTTTCATTTGACTGAAAAATGCTATATGAATTGTGCAGCTCATCACCGAAGAAGTTGAGAAGCTGATACACGTCTAGTAAACTAAAAGAGCAAGGTTAAGAAAACCAAACTGGTCGGAAACGACAAAACAAAAAAAGCCAGGTCTCTACCAAGTTGGAAAAATAATAATTTATAAAAAAGTAAAAAAACGGTTTTTCGTGCTAAAAGCTGATTTTTTCTTACTGTTTTGTTTAATTTCACTTTTACTTTATGTTCTTTAATTTTGAGAAGTATTTTCTTTTCATGACATTATTTTTCATTGCCGCATCAAACTACTCTAAAGTAACTAATAATTATTAAAGGTCATTTAGATGTTCAATAGATGTCAAAATATTACCATTTTTCGACATTTTTTCTCAAAATCTATTAAAACCATTTATCTTTCATCTTAAATTGTACGAAATGGTTTCTATCTGATTTTAAAATTGGCAATAAAAGGTTCAAGAAATTGGGGGATACGGGTGAGCATTTGTGGTTGACAATCGTAAATTCATATCCTCGCTGCTAAAACACTGCAGCATTTACACCGCAGAGCTGCAATAAACAAATTTTTGAATATTAATTTCCTATCGACTGATCTTCTGGTATTATCAACAGACTCGTTATAAGTTTAGAACATTTTTCTTTTCCTCAATACCCTAAAATCCGAATATGTGCAAATGGGTTCGTTCACATTGGGGAATTGCAGGGAATAAAATTACAAGCATTACTGAACAGACGTAAAATCAATACGTGCAATAATGTTATATGTTATATGTTATATGTCGGAGGTAGTTAGGGACGATTCCATGAATATAGGATCTTTTGCTTTTTTTTCGTTCACTTAATTACTGAACCTACCTCACTAGAAACGTAATTTTGTATTTATAGTATGAGCATTTTCTTAGTTTTTTTTAAGCAACCTAACTATCTCAACATAAGGTTTATGGTGGAAACCCTATAGAGTTTGATAGCGCATTTGTCCAATGTCTACACTTTTTACATAACAAATATTATTTCGTTTCTGGGTGATTTTATGTACAAATTCGTACTTCGATTGTTATTTACCGACAGGATGAAAATTAGTCGATATTTTTTTAATCATTTACTAGAGTTACAACTTTATTGAATCGATAGGCCCAAGAATTGAGCGTGTAAATCTCAAAACATAATAGAAAAACGGAACAAAATGAAAAAAGATCGTATTTTTAAACTGTTTCCAATAATAACCGCAGCTCTTCTTAGTGAATGAATTAAGCATACCACTTTAAAAAAAGAAAGTTAAATGCGAAAAATGTAGCAAACGTATTAATACTCGGTTCAAAGAGACATAACTCTTTTAAGTCAATGGAGAAAAAATTAAGCTTGCAAACCTCAAAAGTTACGAGATAAACCTTAAAAAAGGGGGAAAAATATTTTTCTACGTGTTTATAATAGTTCTTTTTAGTCTAGACTCTTCTCAGATTATTAGCGTAAGAATAATTCTTGTTAACCTCTAATTTAACAAGACAAATTCAAAAAACCGATAGAAAAAAACTGTCCATGTCTTTATAACCGTCTCCCTTTTATACTAATTTCTGATAGACACAAAACTTCAGAGTTAACTGGTGGAACATTGGCCCAAAACGTAAACTCGTAACAATCAAAATAAAAAATAATTACAATTAATTAAGGTTTTTAGTTGAGATAAAAAAGTCAGTGGCACGAGGGGGATTCGAACCCACGATCTTCCGGTAAATACGCAGCTGCTCTACCACTTGAGCTATCGTGACCTCGATCCACTCGGACACTAACTTCCCACCCGAGCGGATAGAGGTCACGAGAGCTCAAGTGGTAGAGCAGCGGCTTATCTAGCCGAAGATCGTGGGTTCGAATCCCCCTCGTGCCATTGACTTTTTTATCTCAACTAAAAACCTTAATTAATTGTAATATATTAATTGGTCAAGCGGACCACGAAATGGGTGAATATAAAATAATAACGGAATAAAAAGAAGAAATGGTTTTTTTGACTTAATTATACCAGTCCACTATAGAATCAAAACTCCAAAGTCAAATTGCGTGAAAATTGTGTCCGTAAATTTCAAAATAATGTAGAGAAAGAAGAAGAAAAAAAAATATATTGACGTGTTTATACTAGTGCCCAAAACCGTATACAATCGACTGATGGAAAATATATTTTTAAACTTTAAAAGTGATAAACCCAAACAACAAGCAACAAGAAATGTTGGCGTGTTTATACTAGTTTCTTATAAACATAAAACTTCCCAGTCAATTGGCTTAAGAAGTTTTTTGTAAATATCAAAATAGCATGATAAATTCGAAAAACTGAAATACAAATATATCGACGTACATATTTTTATTCGTTTCCAACGACTTTTCGTAGTCGATTGAACTAAGCAGGTTAACTTAAAAAAAGCAAAATAAACGCTGAAACAGAAATAAAAATTATTTATCAACCTTTTTATGCTAATCGCATACTCAAAATTGGCCCAAAATTAACATAAGAATTAGGTTCGTAACAATTAAAATATGCAACAAAACTCACAAACCAAGAAGAAAGGATTTTCCGACACTTTTGAACTGTTATTTATAGAAATTATACTTCCGAGTCGTTAGATCAAGAATTCCGCTCAAAATCTACAAAAAAAGGAAATAATAAGGGAAAAAGGAATAAAAAACAAGAAAAATGTTTTCTCGGCGCATTTATCCCGGCTTCTTATAACCACGACCCTCAAAATTGATTGGTGCACACATGAAGCTTTTAAACCTCACAGAAACCCCAAACGAAAAAACTTTATTAAAAAAATGTCAGAAGTTTACGTACATATCGTATAGCCAGAACTAATCTGGGTTGATTAGCGCAATAGTTATATTAATTA